CCCCCCCTACTCACAAGGCAGGCAATACGCTTGACCTCATCTTTACTAGATGCTGCTCTTCTACTAATCTCACTGCAACTCCCCTCCATGTCTCCGACCACTACTTTGTTTCCTTTTCTCTCTCGCTCTCCTCCAACACTACTCACTCTGCCCCTACACAGATGGTAATGCGCCGCCGCAACCTTCGCTCTCTCTCTCCCACTACTCTCTCCTCTTCCATCCTATCATCTCTTCCCTCTGCTCAATCCTTCTCCCTCCAATCTCCTGATTCTGCCTCCTCAACCCTCCTCTCCTCCCTTTCTGCATCCTTTGACTCTCTGTGTCCCCTATCCTCCCGGCCGGCTCGGTCCTCCCCTCCAGCTCCGTGGCTTGATGACTCATTGCGAGCTCACAGAACAGAGCTCCGGGCAGCGGAGCGGAAATGGAAGAAAACTAAACTCCCTGCCGACCTGGCATCTTTTCACTCCCTCCTCTCTACATTTTCTTCATCTGTTTCTGCTGCTAAGGCCACTTTCTACCACTCTAAATTCCAAGCATCTGCCTCGAACCCTAGGAAGCTCTTTGCCACATTTTCCTCCCTCCTGAATCCTCCCCCCCCCCCCCCCCCCCCTCCTCTCTCTCTGTGGATGACTTCGTCAACCACTTTGAAAAGAAGGTTGACGACATCCGATCCTCGTTTGTTAAGTCTAATGACACTGCTGGTCCTACTCACACTGCCCTACCCTATGCTTTGACTTCTTTCTCCCCTCTCTCTCCAGATAAAATCCTGCGACTTGTGACTGCAGGCCGCCCAACAACCTGCCCGCTTGACCCCATCCCCTCCTCTCTTCTCCAGACCATCTCCGGTGACCTTCTCCCCTACCTCACCTCGCTGATCAACTCATCCCTGACCGCTGGCCATGTCCCTTCCGTCTTCAAGAGAGCGAGAGTTGCTCCCCTTCTCAAAAAACCAACACTCGATCCCACTGATGTCAACAACTACAGACCAGTATCCCTTCTTTCTTTTCTTTCCAAAACTATTGAGCGTGCCGTCTTTAGCCAACTCTCTTGCTATCTCTCTCAGAATGACCTTCTTGATCCAAACCAGTCAGGTTTCAGGACTGGTCATTCAACTGAGACTGCTCTTCTCTGTGTCACGGAGGCTCTCCGCACTGCTAAAGCTAACTCTCTCTCCTCTGCTCTTGTCCTTCTAGACCTGTCTGCTGCCTTTGATACTGTGAACCATCAGATCCTCCTCTCCACCCTCTCCGAGCTGGGCATCTCCGGCGCGGCTCACTCCTGGATTGCGTCCTACCTGACCGGTCGCTCCTACCAAGTGGCGTGGCGAGAAGCTGTCTCCGCACCACGTGCTCTCACCACTGGTGTCCCCCAGGGCTCAGTTCTAGGCCCTCTCCTTTTCTCCCTATACACCAAGTCACTTGGCTCTGTCATATCCTCACATGGCCTCTCCTATCATTGCTACGCTGACGATACACAACTAATCTTCTCCTTTCCCCCTTCTGATAACCAGGTGGCGAATCGCATCTCTGCATGTCTGGCAGACATATCAGTATGGATGACGGATCACCACCTCAAGCTGAACCCTGGCAAGACGGAGCTGCTCTTCCTCCCGGGGAAGGACTGCCCGTTCCATGATCTCGCCATCACGGTTGACAACTCCGTTGTGTCCTCCTCCCAGAGTGCGAAGAGCCTTGGCGTGACCCTGGACAACACCCTGTCGTTCTCCGCTAACATCAAGGCGGTGACCCGCTCCTGCAGGTTCATGCTCTACAACATTCGGAGAGTACGACCCTGCCTTACACAGGAAGCGGCACAGGTCCTAATCCAGGCACTTGTCATCTCCCGTCTGGATTACTGCAACTCGCTGTTGGCTGGCCTCCCTGCCTGTGCCATTAAACCCCTACAACTCATCCAGAATGCCGCAGCCCGTCTGGTGTTCAACCTTCCCAAGTTCTCTCACGTCACCCCCCTCCTCCGCACACTCCACTGGCTTCCAGTTGAAGCTCGCATCCGTTACAAGACCATGGTGCTTGCCTATGGAGCAGTGAGGGGAACGGCACCTCTGTACCTTCGGGCTCTGATCAGTCCCTACACCCAAACGAGGGCATTGCGTTCATCCACCTCTGGCCTGCTGGCTCCCCTTCCTCTGCGGAAGCATAGTTCCCACTCAGCCCAGTCAAAACTGTTCGCTGCTCTGGCACCCCAATGGTGGAACAAGCTCCCTCACGACGCCAGGACAGCGGAGTCACTCACCACCTTCCGGAGACATTTGAAACCCCACCTCTTTAAGGAATACCTGGGATAGGATAAAGTAATCCTTCTACCCCCCCAAAAAAAAAAATTGTAAAGTGGTTATCCCACTGGCTATAGGGTGAATGCACCAATTTGTGAGTCGCTCTGGATAAGAGCGTCTGCTAAATGACGTAAATGTGCCCTTGAGCAAGGCACTTAACCCTAATTGCTCCTGTAAGTCGCTCTGGATAAGAGCGTCTGCTAAATGACTAAAATGTAAATGTAAATGTAATGGTTGTCCTTCTGGGAGGTTCTTCTGGCCAAGCACAACTCCAACACCATCATTAAGTTTGCTGACGACACAACGGTGGTAGGCCTGATCACCGACAACGATGAGACAGCCTATAGGGAGGAGGTCAGAGACCTGGCAGTGTGGGGCCAGGACAACAACCTCTCCCTCAACATGAGCAAGACAAAGGAGCTGATCGTGGACTACAGGAAAAGGAGGGCCGAACACTCCCCCATTCACATCGACAGGGCTGTAGTGGAGCGGGTTTGAGAGCTTCAAGTTCCTTGGTGTCCACATCACCAACAAACTATCATGGTCCAAACGCACCAAGACAGTCGTGAAGAGCGCACGACAACGCCTATTCCCCCTCAGGAGACTGAAAAGATTTGGCATGGGTCCCCAGATCCTCAAAAAGTTATACAGCTGCACCATCGAGAGCATCCTGAGCGGTTGCATCACCGCCTGGTATGGCAACTTCTTGGCATCTGACCGTAAGGCGCAACAGAGGGTAGTGCGTACGGCCCAGTACATCACTGGGGTCAAGCTTCCTGCCATCCAGGACCTCTATACTAGGCGGTGTCAGAGGAAGACCCAAAAAATTGTCAAAGTCTCCAGTCACCCAAGTCATAGACTGTTCGCTTTGCTACCGCACGGCAAGTGGTACTGGAGCACCAAGTCTAGGTCCAAAAGGCATATTAACAGCTTCTACCCCCAAGCGATAAGATTGCTGAACAATTAATAAAATGGCCACCCGGGCTATTTGCATTGACCCCCCCCCCCCCCTCCCCCCCTTGTCTTTACATGGCTGCTACATGCTGTTTATTATCTATGCATAGTGACTTTACCCATACCTACATGTACAAATACCTCAATTACCTCGACTAACCTTTACCCCTACACATTGACTCGGTACCGGTACCCCCTGAATCGTTATTGTTATTTTATTGTGTTACTTTTTTTTAGTTTAGTTTATTTGGTCAATATTTTCTTAACTCTGTTTTCTTAAAACTGCATTGTTGGTTAAGGGCTTGTAAGTAAGCATTTCACGGTAAGGTCTAAACCTGTTGTATTTGGCGCATGTGACAAATACAATTTTATTTTTGTCAGTGGAGCCTCCTGGTGGAAAGGTTTTCTTCTTGCTTACATTAAGAAGTAGGGTAAGTAGCCCCTAGACACTGATCTTGGGTCAGTTTTGTATCTTCCCCACTAATGGTTAAGGTTAGGATTGGGGGAGGGGAAGCTGATCCTAGATCTTTACCTAGGGGAAACTTCACCCTGGAGCTTATATTACAGATCTTCATCCCACTACTACAGGGAACCATTTTATCCCAAATAACCTACATAGTTAATATGCAGCGACTACCTGGTATGACAGTACTGAGATTTAGAGACTCCTCAGACAATTGAATATTTGTTATATTTATTATACATTCTTTACACTGTCCCATATGAAATGCTGAATGCTTTGTTTTCATTGGGCAAGCTCGTTTTGCATCTCCAGGTGCCCTGGTTGGTGGAGATTTTACTTTAGGACTAATGGAAATGTCTAAAATGTGCAAACTACTCGCACCCGGGGCACCGGACGATGCAAAACAAACTCACTCGTTGAACATGCCCAAACTCATGTGCATTACATAATAAAGTCTGCAGATGTCAGTGTAGCTCTCATACATCAGCCTAATAAAACCTTTTTTACACTGCACTTAGAGTGTCACTATTGAACAAGGCAAGTGTATGCCATGAAACCACTTTTAAAATAATAATAATAATATGCCATTTAGCATATTGCATATTATCATGGTTATTGTACAATTATGTGCTTTTAGTTTTAAATAACACTTAAAACTCTATTTTAAAACTATTTAAAAACCCTTTCCAACCCAAACTGCATCAACTCCCTTTCCATCATCTGAAGCTGACTAGAGACATTCAATTTCCATCTAATCAATATGTATTTGTTTTTTGTATTTGTTGCTTTTTATGCAGATTGAGATAATTTTTTTGTAATGAGAAACGCTATACAAGCTAAATACAATTATTATTATTATTATTATTATTATTATTATTATTATTATTATTATTAAAATTATTTTGCAGGCCTATAGGGGCACAGGATCAGAGGAGAGGCACACATCAATAGGCCTACCTCTGATGGCCCCTTTCAGACAAACCTGAAATCATCTGCTTTGTGTAGGCTATGAAAAGCACTGGGTCTGGTTAACATGGGGGTTGGGGAAAGGAAGTCTAATTCCACAATAGACCTACTGGCATAGCCACTAAATTATCCCTTTGTGTTTGTTGGACATAACTGATGCTGTCTACGCTCCTGCTCCTCCCCCTTTCTTCAAATCGCTACGTCAGTGGTCGAGACAGGTAGGCTACGGCTATTATTGCACAGGATACCTCACGTGAACTTCCAGGTTATTGGCTATTGTCTGTATTCGCATCTTTCCTGTCGGCAAGCATATAAAAAGCTTAGTGTGTAAGTTCCTTTGTGGGATACCTGAACAGTTGCTCTTGTCGGTGAATGATCGACCGTTATTGGTTTTAGGCAACATAGCCTAATTTCCCATACATGCCAGGTGAAGTCTTGAAGGTAAGTTTTATAATATTTTGTGCTATTGTGCATGGCTAATCTTTCGTTTATTACTTTATTGTATTTATTAGGACTAGCCTATTTTTTTCAGAAAATAAGTTTGCATTTGAGTGTCTAGTTTGACCAAATAAACACTGATTCGGAAAACAGCAATATTGTAGGCTATTGTTATTTTTTTCAATGAAAAATGTTAATTATCTGAACAACACACCATAGTTTGTATAAAGCAGTGTATGTTTAGCCACATTTGTATTCAAATAATACGTTTGTTCCAGTTAATCAGTAAATAGCTTATTATATCATGATAATACAAAATAAAGAAAACACTCCGTTTGGATTTTTACTTTTTGTATACCACATTCAAAAAAGCCAACGACCAGGTTGTGAATGCTGTATAGCCTTTACACGTTTTTTTCTCAATAGATTGACAAAGGGTGTGGATCAGAACCATAACAGCACATGCTGCCTGGAAGGCTGGTTGGCTGTCTCTGCCGCGATATTATCGTGCAGGGAGCAGCTGCTGTGCATGGCAATCACATTTCATGCTGTGCCGCCTGTGCATGTAGAGTGCTTATTATTGTGTTATCGGTGCGCAAATGTCTACCAACTCAAAAAGAGCAACCATAGGAAATTGCCACTGTAGCATAAATAGTTTCTTATGGGGTATCAGGTCTTATTCTGTATATATATATTTTTAAACATAGCAAAGGTGCCTTTCATTTTAAAGCATATGCAATGAAAGGGATGGTTCACCAGAAAATCAAAGTCAGATCACACTTTAATTAAAATGTTAGAATCAGCTTTATTCAATGTGGAAGCGTTAACACGAAATGAAAAATGTAGAATAGACCTATTTCGAGGTAAGAACTGTACCACTTTAATTAATCTAATATCTTTAACTCTTTCTTTCTACTCTCATCTCCCCTCACTCTCTCTCTTTCTCTGCTCTCCTCCCCGTCTCTCTCTCTCTCCCTCCCTCCAGCTCCCTCGTCCGTTCCTCACCATGGGGTTCGGCAGCGCTGGCGAGCCTCAACCTCAGCCTCAGAGCGACCACCAGCCCCAGCGGAAAGAGATGAGCTTCTGCGAGGGGCCGTGCCATGCAGAACAGATCCTCCAGGTGCTCAACGCCTACCGCCGCAGCGGCACCTTCACCGACGTGGTCCTGCAGGTGGACAGCAGTGAGTTCCCATGCCACCGCGCCATCCTCAGCGCCGGCAGCATCTACTTCCGCACAATGTTCAACGGGCAGCTCCTCGAGAGCCGCCAGCAGCTGGTGCGCATCCAGGGTGTAGGTGCCTCCACCATGGAGACGGTGCTCAACTTCGTGTACGAGGGCAAGGCAGCGCTGGATGAGGGCAACGTGGGGAGCGTGTTCAGCGCCACCAACATGCTGGGTGTCAGCGTGCTCAGCAAGGCATGTGTGCGGTTCCTGGAGGAGCGTATGGACCACTCCAACTGCCTAGGCATCATGGACTTCGCTAGCTCGTACTTCATCACGCCTCTGGCAGACAAGTGCCAGACTATGTTGTACAGGGACTTTGTGGAGGTCTACAAGCACGAAGAGTTCCTGAGCTTAGCCAAAGAGCGTGTGGTGGAGCTTCTGACCAGTGAGCAACTCCAGGTGGACAAGGAGGAGGTGTTGGTGGAGGCAGTGCTGAAGTGGGTGCACCACGTGCCCGCCGAGAGGAAAGGGGCCCTCCAGGAGCTGTTGGAGCTGGTGCGTCTGCCTCTGGTGGACCCTGTTTTCTTCGTCAACGTGATAGAGTCGGACGACCTGGTCCAGGACTGCAGGGAGTGCCGGCCACTGCTGCAGGAGGCCAGGATGTACCATGTCCTGGGGAGGGAAGTGGACTCTGTGCGGACCAGACCGAGAAAGTCAGTATTAAAACCATTGGTGTCAAAAACATCAGCCAGCCTTATGTATGTATGTACAATAATGCTCTATAGTGGTCGCTAACACTGGTCCTGAATAGCTACAGGGTGTGCAGGCTTTTTTCCCAGCCCAATGCAAACACATTTAGTTCAGCTAATTCAAGTATTGATGATAAGATGTTTGGTTAAATCAAGTGCTGGGCTGGAACACAACTTCTTTAAGGACCAGGATTTTGCTACCCCTTTTTCTAACCTGAAAACAAAACAAAGTAAAGGTAGAGAGAAGAGGGAATTATTCAAGAGCGAAAATACAGTTCTGGTATGTCTCTCTACTGTAGACTCATATTCCTAATAATCATATTAATTTGGAAAAGTACTAGTACATATTCAGGGAGTCTGTGTTGTTGTCCAGTTTGTTCTCAGTTTTTCAGTTCAAGTATATTCACTCTGTCTGTCGGTCTGTCTGTGCTCAGGTGCATGGGGAGAGCTGAGATGATCGTGGTGATCGGAGGCTGTGACAGAAACGGCTTCTCCAGGCTGTCCTTCACTGAGAAACTCAACCCTTACACCAAAGAGTGGGTGCCCGGTGCCACCATCCCAGGATACTCCAAGTCCGAGTTTGCCAGCTGTGAGCTGCAGAATGAAGTATACGTGTCAGGTGTGCCACTGTTATAAGGAAATGTTGATCGTCACAAGATGAGACGGTGCATATTACTATAGGTTTTTATTAGTTTTTATCTTACTTGTGAACATACTATTACCATGTTATTACAACTTTATCCCATGCTGTAATGTAACGTGCTACCAAAATATTTGTATTATGTAATGGTAAATGTTTAGGAACAGTCCCCTAGATAATAAGCTATTCATACTGTATCAGGGCAATAACTGTGAACTAGCCATGTTTGTTATTGTGCAAAGCACATTGCTGTCAAACCTGTTTTTACACCTTACATCAGTTCTACTGTCAACTGACAGAGCTTCTGTTTATTCAAAGGGAAATGCATGTTTTTCTTCAATGTAATTCAATGCGGTCTGTCTTTAATTGCTTTTCATAGCATCTCTGCTCTAGATTTATTTACACAGACAGGCATGTCCAAAGCCTATAAGAAAGCCCACGGCGATATAGTGGCAAGGAAAAAGTCCCTCAGGAATACAGTGGCATTTTTCAAAGCTATTAAACATGGCCACTGTCTCAGTTCTGAAATAGGGGGCCATATGAATCAAGAGTCTCAGAGGAGGAGTGTTGATCTATGATCAGCTGTCCATGTAATCTTATTAATTGTGATCTAAATGGCAAAACTGATCTTAGATGAGCACTCCTCCTCTGAGACGCTTGATAGCCTTCATATTGACCCTGGACTGATTGTATCGTCCTGCAGGAGGCCAGTTGAATAGCTCGGACGTGTGGAAGTACATGCCCCAGGTGGACCACTGGGTTCGTGTTGCCTCCTTGGCCAAGGCCAGGTGGAGGCACAAGATGGTTGCTCTGCTTGGAAAGGTGAGCCTGCCTTTGTTCCAGTTGCCTCCTTTTGTGGATACAAAGCCCCATAATCATTGACATCCATTTGTGATTGAGTCAGAGTCAGAGTTGTGAGCGCTTAGGATTTCTCCCATAATGCTAACCTGGTCCCAGATCTGTTTGTGCTGTTCTCTATACAGCACAAACAGATCTGGGACCAGGCTACCATAATGCATATCAGGCTGAATCTTTGTAGAGTCCGAGCAGGCTGGTTTGCAATTTGACCATAGACTGGGTAGAATAAGAATTGTACTGAGTATAGCTGTGTGCGTGTGTTTGTGGTTGTAGTTATATGCAGTGGGAGGCTTCAACGGGCTGGAGCGCTTGTCCAATGTGGAGTGCTACAGCGTCTACGACAACCAGTGGCGGACTGTAGCCCCTCTACTGCTGGCCGTGAGCTCAGCGGCTCTGGTGGGCTGCTCTGGGAAGCTCTACGTCATTGGTGGGGCTGTGAGCAACGACTGCAATACCAACAAGGTGAGCTGGAATCTGTGGTGTAGCGTGAAGTTGCCCCTAGACGCTGATCATGGGTCAGTTTTGCATTTCCCCCACTAATGGTTAAAGACGCCCTCCAGCGATTTTTTTACTTTTACTGTTGAAAAGCGATATCCCAAGTATAAATACAGTAAAGTACACTGCAAACTTCAAGGAGTAGGGCATTCAAGGAGTTGGTCTGATGGGAATCCGTTAAGCCATCGGCCTCCCCTCTTGCTTGAGGAACAATAGAGGAGCAATAGAGAACAAAAGAGGAAAAGCCCGCCCCCCACTTGTGCAATTTCATGACATACCTGGGAAGTAGGGGTGCTGAGAGTGCTGCAGCCCCCCCTGAAAAATTGGAGTAAAAAAATATTTATTAATAATGTATTTGGATATTCTTTTAAGAAATGTTTTTTCTCACAAAAGTAGTGCACTGGGCCTTTGCTAGTCCTTTATTAGCGGACCGATATAGGCATCTGTAGCACGGGCAAAAGATCTGTACCTATAGGACATTTCCTCCCGAAATGGGATCTGTTGTAGGATAAAGGTCAGGCATACAGTAGAGGTTAGATTACCCTTTTCAGATTACTGAACTGAGGCGAACTGAGTTACGCATCCACCATAGTTGCTGGAACCATGTGTGAAAAGAAAAGACCTGAGCCAGCACAGTACGGTTTGGGTGGTATGGTAGTGTGAAAAGGGTATTAGAGTTGGGGTAAACTATTACATTAAAGCAATTTGATTTACTTCACATGTATCATGAAACCACAGTTCAAGTTTAAGAACAGAATAGCAATATAGTTGACATTTCATCATCTACCAGAACGTGTTGTTGTTATTCTAGTCTTCACCACACTGTGACAAAGGCTTAAACAAACAATAGCTGGATTATGGAATGACAAGTACTCCCTGTGTAGATATATTAAATGTCAACCGAGGTTCTTCAATTCTGACACAGAGAACCTTGTTCTGCTTTTGTGGAATTTCTTGGAAAGTTTTGTGGAATTTCATGGAAGTGACCTTTTCCAAAGAACACCTTCAGAATCATGTTACCTACTTTCATATTACATCTTGTCGTCCATTTGTAGATGTTCTCTGTACTGTAATGCTCCTTGGACTGTAGGCTATAACCAAATTCTGAAGATCAAAATATGCTATTCTTTTGTGCCTTAGGGCTTGCCTTAACACGATTCTTAGAATGGATTCCAGGAAACAAGCAGCATTCCAAACTGTCAACACTATCATTCTCTTTCATTAAGAACCCCCTCATTTAGTATTTGCATACAAAACAGACACACTATTTGTGTCGAGTGGATCTGCTGTTGTTCTGCTAATGTTTAAGCCACACACAATACTGTAGAATTAGTCAAATGTAGTGTTTAGCCATTTCCTACAAGACCCTACTTTTACTGTCCATAGAGGTTCAGTGCAATTTAGGCCGGTTTCCCAGACACAGAATAGTCCTGGACTAAAAAGCAGTTTCAATAGAGATTGTCTATTGAGAATTAATTTTACTCCTAGACTAGCCTTAATCTGTAACCAAGAAACTGGCCCCAAAAGTAATGTATTATAAGAAAACCCTATAAAGGCATACTAAATGTCTAATAATACAAAATAAAGGAAAAATTAGCTATTTATATACACATGCATACGTTTAAAACATTTTATAATGCCTAATATGTTATATCTATATCTCTAGCACACATTTTATGTTTACCTTCTCTTAAACAACCCTGCTTCTGCTGTCCATACCATAGAGATCCTATTGTTTTATACAATATATGTACAAAAGTATGTGGACACCCCTTCAAATTAGTGGATTCGGCTATTTCAGCCACACCCGTTGCTGACAGGTGTATAAAATTGAGCACACCGCCATGCAATCTCCATAAACAAACATTGGCAGCATAATGGCTTTACTGAAGAGCTCAGTGACTTTCAACGTGGCACCGTCCTTGGATGCCACCTTTCCAACAAGTCAGGTCATTAAATTTCGCCCTGTTAGAGCTGCCCGGTCAACTGTAAGTGCTGTTATTGTAAAGTGGAAACGTCTAGGAGCAACAATGGCTCAGCCGCGAAATGGTAGGCCACACAAGCTCACAGAACGGGACCGCCGAGTGCTGAAGCGCGTAGCGCGTAAAAATAGTCTCTCCTCGCTCGGTTGCAACACTCACTACCGAGTTCCAAACTGCCTCTGGAAGCAACGTCAGCAGAATAACTGTTTGTCAGGAGCTTAATGAAATGGGTTTCCATGGCCGAGCAGCCGCACACAAGCCTAAGATCACCATGCGCAATGCCAAGCGTCGGCTGGATTGGTGTAAAGCTCGCCACCATTGGACTCTGGAGCAGTGGAAACGCATTCTCTGGAGTGATGAATCACGCTTCACCATCTGGCAGTCCAACGGACGAATCTGGGTTTGGCAGATTCCAGGAGAACGCTATCTGCCCGAATGCATAGTGCCAACTGTAAAGTTTGGTGGCGGTGGACTAATGGTCTGGGGCTGTTTTTCATAGTTCGGGCTAGGTCCCTTAGTTCCAGTGAAGGGAAATCTTAACGCTACAGCATACAATGACATTCTAAACGATTCTGTGCTTCCAACTTTATGGCAACAGTTTGGGGAAGGCCCTTTCCTTTTTCAGCATGACAATGCCCCCATGCACAAAGTGAGGTCCATACAGAGGTTGTTTGTCTAGATCGGTGTGGAAGAACTTGACTGATCTCAACCCCATCGAACACCTTTGGGATGAATTGGAATGCCGACTGTGAGCCAGGCCTAATCGGCCAACATCAGTGCCCGACCTCACTAATGCTCTTGTGGCTGAATTGAAGCCAGTCCCCGCAGCAATGTAACAACATCTAGTGGAAAGCCTTCCCAGAAAAGTGAATAGCAGCAAAGGGGGGACCAACTCCATATTAATTTATGTCCATGATTTTGGAATGAGGTGTCCACATACTTTTGGTTATGTAGTGTATGTTCTATATGTTCTATATGTAATTCTATGGTCCATGCAGGTTCAGTGCTATAACATAGAAGAGGACCAATGGACGTATGTGGCATCCTGTCCATTCTCTCAGAGATGCATCAATGCCATCACACACAATAACACCATCTATGTAGTGGGAGGCCTCCTGGACCAGATTTACAGCTACACTCCTAAGACAGACACCTGGAGCAAAGTGGTGGACTTGCCAATGAAACTGGTAAGTGAATTTTATACTAAACTAGTAGTTGCAACCAGTGGGTTACATAGAATAGGGAAATCACTTTGCTTTTGACAACTCCTGTTTGTCAATTGCCAAATAAGGATTTACAATCACAATTGTTGAAATCACAACAAAAACAACCCCCATGTAGACACCCATGTAGATACCCATGTACAGCGAATGTGATTATAATTTCTAATTTGGCCACATAAGAGAAGAAACAGGAGTTGAGGAGCAGTAGGCCATTAATCATTTGTGGGTTGTAAAGCCTCTAAAGCTACATGATTTTGGAGCTGCCAGGCATATATTAGTTTGGCTTGTCTGGGTTGGGACAGGGGAAACATGATCCTAGATCAGCACTCCTACTCTGAGACGCTTTATGAATATGGCCCCTGACCCCTATGTCTCTGTGTCTGTCCATCAGGAGAGCTGTGGCCTGACGGTGTGTGAGGGGAAGGTCTACATCGTCGGGGGGAGAGATAGTTGTGCCTCGGCCACCGACCAGGTGTGGGCCTACTGTCCCGAGAGCGGCAAGCTGACGGACGAGAAGCCCATGTCACGCAGTGTCAGCTACCACGGTTGTGTCACTGTCACCCAGTGGCCACCACAGAAGACCCACTGAGGTGTAGGGTGGTTGACACTAGATGCTGATCATGGGTCAGTTATGCATTTTCCCCACTAATGGTCAAAGTTAGTATTGGTGGAGGAGAAGCTGATCCTAGATCTGTACCTAGGGGAAACATCACCCCATAACCTGGGCTGCTGCCTGAAGATAGGCAGTTGACCGAATCATATTCCCATAGCCTGCTACTATTGGGTGAAAGTACTTACAACTCCCTCCCCCATCTATAGACCACAAGAATGATGAGGCGACAAGAGACGGCTCAGACCTCACGTTTTGAGGTTGTTGCTTCAGCGCCTTGTCAGTTGTGTATTTATGTAAGCTGTTGTGAGATGCCATTTCATTGAGGAAAACGCCTAGAAACTACACTCACACATTTGCTCACTTTAGTGACTTTGCTTCAAAGGAACGTTTCCGTGAGTGCCTATTGTTTAAAAAAAAAAAAAGGCACCTTTGGGAACCTGCCAGCCTGCATTTATTGCTTATCTTCCATTTGGCCTTGATCCTGACAATGACCTCAGTAAGACTGTCAGATGAGGAACCTCACTGTCAACTCTGTGGCTGCGTCCCAAATGGCACCGTATTCCCTATAGTGTACTTCTTTTGACCAAGGCTCTGGACAGAAGGAGTGTACTATATTGGGAATAGGGTGCCATTTGGGAAACATAGAATTGCACACTGCTGTGTGCTCTGTGACAGGTATACCACACAGATACAAAGAGGAAGGAGATGCCATATCAAGTACAGATGAGAGACATGATAGAATCACATCAAGGCTTTCATTCCACAGGCTTACATTCCACAGTAGATGAAACAAGACTTCTTATGAACTATATAGAGACTTCTGTTGTTCTGATGAATTATCACTAACCGTAGTCTCCTGTCATTTGAAGCATGAGAAAAGTAGGCTTCTGGCCACCCGTACTTACTCTTTGATTTAGATTCAGGTTCAGTTAAATGATCTGAGACAAATGTTTGTGATGGTTTAGTGGCCACGTCTATTTGTATGTATTGGTGATGTTAGCTCATACACAGTCTAAGGGGCTAATTTCCACTTAAATACGATTTTCACTTAGTTATGCATTGATGTCAATGGGAGAAAATTTGAAGTCAGGATTCACCCCTCAGCACTTAATACAGCAGACAGGTCCTTCAGTTCCTGCATTTTAAGTCCTTATTGCCTCGTAACTGACAACACATGAACTGACATTGATCAACAAGCACTTCAGACATGAATCCTAACTTGAGATCCACATGCATAACTCGGATTTAATCGTTTATTGATGTAAATGGGAGATTTACATACATTCAGGGCTCTGTTCAATCTGTAGCGATGATTGAGCTGGCATTTGCAGAGTTTACCGCGTGAATACAGTCTCCGCTAACGCAGGAACATTGCCTATAAATTTAAATCACGCTGTAACGCTGAACTTCCGCGATACGGATTGAATAGAGCCCCTAAACCTTTAGTGACTATGACCAAGTTATCAAAAGAGAAATCAGAACAGTACTTTTAAGAACACTAACCACATAGCACAAGTTAATTGTTTTTTACCAGTATCAATACTTATTTTGTAGATAAGACTTATTCTAAAGTTTATCTTCACTCTAACCTGGTCAGTTTTATGTATTCATATAGTTTCCTTTTAGTAAATGTTTTAGTGTATGAAGAAACTAGGTCACAAGACTTCAATTTGAATTGAACGACACTTTCAGACAGGAAATCCCATACTTCAATATGAAACATACTGTATAAATATATATATGATGTACATCATATATTGTGAATCTATACCTGAACTCTCTAATCACTTTTTTATTTATTGTATTCTAATGCTGATTTAACTTTCCATTTGAATGATTGAATCACTGTGCAAACTTTCCAGCTCATACCCATACAATGTGATTGACATGCCAATATTGTTTTCTACTTACATTTTGGCTGACTAGTATTTTTGATTATTACTAATTTAAGTGTGAGATTCCAATAAAGCTGCTTTTCCTACAGTGAATGTATTGAATTAATTCCTGGATAAATGGATATAAGATAATTGAAACGGATAATGTTCCCTGTAGTCTGCAGCAGTATTGTTATGGTGAGCTACAATCTCAGACAGTTTTCAGTTAGATTTTTGGGGAGGCTTCCCTTGGCATCAATGAATACATGCCACTGGACATTTTTACTATTATTACTACCAAACATTCAGATCTCATCTAACATGTGTTTAGACACTAATTGGAGTTCAGAGGAACAGCAATCATAGATCATTTCATCAACCGTCAGGGTCCTCACCTCAGAAACCCCAAGGTGGTCATCGCATTTGCCAAAATGTTTTACCACTGACGTTTGAGTATGATAAGAATTTGTGTTTTTCTGCTGTAAGTGCTGGTGATATCATCTGTCATCTTAGTCCTCTCTTTTTCATGGAAGCGTCCGGTTACATTCCAGTGAAGGCACAGTGGTATCAGATATCTATCTTTACTCTTCTGGTATTGATGTACGGGAACAAACAGACGAGTCACCATCCCAACAACTTTGAAGTTCCACAGAAAACCTAAGGTAACCTCCCTTTCAAGCTTCCTTGAAATGGTGAAATTGAAAATGTTCTCATGTACTGTATATAGGAATTTCTTCTTGAAAGTAGGGTAACACTTCATTTTAAGGGGTCTTTATTACAGTGTAATTGCATGTGTAATTACACTATAACAAGTATTGTAGTTAATTGTAATAGCTCATAGTTACACTGTAATAACAACATGTAACTGGTGGTCATTGCTGTCTGGAATTACAGAGGTGTAGCTTGTTACAGATGGGCAAGTTTCCACTAAATTCACCAATTCAGTGTTTAGTTTCTTCTCAGCTGTATCTGATTCAGTAATAAAGGTCACAAGGTTGTAATCTCTTGTGGACAGATGCGCTGGGTGTCCGAGATTACAAAGGTTGGAGGCTCAATAGGCTCTAATTACCTGCCCGTGTATGTGCACTCTTCAAAATCTCCACTCAATGTGGTTGCTAGCACTTGCCCTCAAAAAGTGTACCATCTGGGTTAATTTGGTTGAGTTTACAATAACAGATCAGACACAGGTCAACCTCACTGACTAGGGTATACCATACGGGTGTCATTCAAGATAATAATTAAAAAACGAATTTATAATTAATGTGTAGGTTACCCATTATGACAACCTGAACCTCCTTGCCATCCAAGTGAGAGGATAAACCCACAAGTACACCAGAGAGTACACGTAATATCTGCATAAGTACAATGTAATTACTAAGTGTTACACAGGATTTGGCTAGTTAAAATGAAGGGTATCTTGAAGTGTACTTACTTGTAATTAATGTGTACCTACAAGGTACGTTACCCATTCCGACAATCTAATCGTCAGCTTCTGAATAGGCGCCATCCATGTGAGAAAATAACTACATTAATACACCACAAGAGTACAGTGGCTTGCGAAAGTATTCACCCCCCTTGATTTTTGGGGGGTTTGTATCATTTGATTTACACAACATGCCTACCACTTTGAAGATGCAAAATATTTTTTATTGTGAAACAAACAGAAAACTTGAGCGTGCATAACTATTCACCCCGCCCAAAGTCAATTCTTTGTAGAGACACCTTTTGCAGCAATTACAGCTGCAAGTCTCTTGGGGTATGTCTCTATAAGCTTGGCATATCTAGCCACTGGGATTTCTGCCCATTCTTCAAGGAAAGACTGCTCCAGCTCCTTCAAGTTGGATGGGTTCCGCTGGTGTACAGCAATCTTCAAGTCATACCACAGATTCTCAATTGGATTGAGGTCTGGGCTTTGACTAGGCCATTCCAAGACATTTAAATGTTTCCCCTTAAACCACTCGAGTGTTGCTTTAGCAGTATGCTTAGGGTCATTGTCCTGCTGAAAGGTGAACCTCCGTCCAGTCTCAAATCTCTGGAAGACTGAAACAGGTTTCCCTCAAGAATTTCCCTGTATTTAGCGCCATCCATCATTCCTACAATTCTAACTAGTTTCCCAGTCCCTGCCGATGGAAAAACATCACCACAGCATGATGCTGCCACCACCGTGCTTCACTGTGGGGATGGTGTTCTCGGGGTGATGAGAGGTGTCGAGTTTGCACCAGACATAGCGTTTTCCTTGATGGCCAAAAGCTCAATTTTAGTCTCATTGGACCAGAGTACCTTCTTCCATATGTTTGGGGAGTTTCCCACATGCCTTTTGGCGAACACCAAATGTGTTTGCTTATTTTTTTTTTTAAGCAATGGGTTTTTTCTGCCCACTCTTCCGTCAAGCCCAGCTCTGTGGAGTGTACGGCTTAAAGTGGTCCTATGGACAGATACTCCAATCGCCGCTGTGGAGCTTTGCAGCTCCTTCAGGGTTATCTTTGGTCTCTTTGTTGCCTCTGATTAATGCCCTCCTTGCCTGGTCCGTGAATTTTGGTGGGCGGCCCTCTCTTAGCAGGTTTGTTGTGGTGCCATATTCTTTCCATTTTTTTATAATCAATTTAATGGTGCTCCGTGGGATGTTCAAAGTTTCGGATATTTTTTTATAACCCAACCCTGATCAGTACTTCTCCACAATTTTGTCCCTGACCTGTTTGGAGAGCTCCTTGGTCTTCATGGTGCCCCTTGCTTAGTGTTGCAGACTCTGGGGCCTTTCAAAACAGGTGTATATATACTGAGATCATGTGACAGATCATGTGACACTTAGATTGCACACAGGTGGACTTTATTTAACTAATTATGTGACTTCTGAAGGTAATTGGTTGCACCAGATCTTACTTAGGGGCTTCATAGCAAAGGGGGTGAATACATATGCACGTACCACCTTTCCGTTATTTACTTTTTAGAGTTTTTTTAAACAAGTTATTGTTTCATTTCACTTCACCAATTTGGACTATTTTGTGTATTTCCATTACATGAAATCCAAATAAAAATCCATTTAAATTACAGGTTGTAATGCAACAAAATAGGAAAAACGCCAAGGGGGATGAATACCTTTGCAAGGCACTGTACATATCTGTAATAAGTACAAGGTTGTCAATAGTTCTTACACAGGATTTAGCTATTTAAAGTGAAGTGTAACTTTATAGTTACCTATGATACATTTCTATATAATTACTCATTACCAAGTGAAAATACCTACAAACAAAAGAAGAGCTTCTACTTTAGTCAACTTTATTGCAATGTAAAAATACCTTACATTTCCTCCAAAATAATAAGGATTTTTATTGTTAGATTAATAATTTGATTAATTAGATTAAACAAAGATAAATAGACCTAC